TATTGGCTGTTCCATCGTGTGGGATAGCTGTCACAGTTCCGTAAGGAAAAGAAGTTTCTTTCTGGTGCGTTTTTGGCAGCCTTCAGTTACTGTTGTGTAATATAAATGGCATTTTTCTCAATAACAAGAGGAAAATAAAAGACAAAATGAGAATAAAATGAGCAAGAAACTGTGTTGTTAAAGTAACAGGACATATCCAGAAAAAAAGGATAAAGAAACATTTCTCCACACTGAAAATGCAGAAAGTTTGGGTGAAGTGACCTTACTGGGAATGTTGGCAAAAGTGGCTAAGATCCCTTCAATTCTATGTTTGAAATACACATTTGAGATTCTTTACCCATGTTAACAGTTCATATATATATTTACATTTATATACATATGTATATGCATATATTCTTTTTTCCTTGGGCATCTAGTGGTAGTGAAAATAACAGAAGGATGAGCTTTTCAGCTTCAGTCTTTTAAAGTATGCACTTGGTCCAGTTACTTGAGACTGCATTTCATCTAAGCACTTGAGGCTTCATCTGCAGACTCTGGAAGCCATGGCGTGAGTGGTAAGCACACCCTGAAATACACAGGAAGTAAGGGAACTCAGAATTTCACACTAATAGTTCCTTATTGGATTTTTGTAAACCAGAAAGCTATCGCTAAATGGGTTTCCCGATCATAAAGCAGTTAGCTACTGCCTATGAAAAGTAAAGAATATTTTTGTGTTCTGTATTTTATTCATCTTCATTTCTGAATTTATAAATGGGAAATAAACTACATTTGAAGAAGTTACTTCTCTTTTTTCAAAGCAATTTTGTTTTTCTTTTCTTGTACTAATGTCACACTTTGGTGCTTGCAGAGATAATTATGCCGGGCATGTGCTCAAGAATATTTTTTCCTCTGTAATGGAAACCACATGAGTATCCTCAGAATTTCTCCACTTTACAAATACTGTTTCTCTTTAGTGTACTGAATTATTCAGATTGTGTAAGAGATTTCCAAGTACCTAATTTACATTATGAAAAAGAGAAAGGTAAGTGCTCTAGAATCATCATAAATGGACATCAAACTGTAGGTCCTCAGGTCAGATCTAATGCATTTATTCAAATTTCGTATCAAATTGATAATGCACCATAGTACAGCTCTGCCAGCAACAGTTACCAAAAAATGCTTACATGTAAAATCTCCTGGCAAAGTAAAGTACTACCTTTTCCTGGTGGATGGGTTTTGTTTCAAAATTTAACTTGAAATCAAAGCTGTTGATTCAGGTGGGCTGCCACGAAGCATGTGGGTATTTGTGTTTGGTTCAGATACAGGGTTATTTTTAACAATGTAAAAAACTACTACTTTGTGGTCAGGATTTTCCTCCCATTCAAATAGAAGTTTATTTTTAGAATTTTCTGGGGCTCTGCGGAGGTACAGAAGGCAACACTACTGTTCACAGTTTGAAAAGCACAACCCATAAGCATTTCGTGATTCTGCTTGTCTGGTGTGTCCTAGCCCATTCATAAGTAGGGTTGTGACTATACTCATAGAAGTGTTCAGGGCTAGGCGTTCTGGATTCTCTATTCTAAATAGCTTTCAAGGTGTTTTAAATTAAACAGAAACATCTCACCTGTTTCTGAATGAAAATGTCTGTGTGTGACCTTCCAGGATGGAACATCTGCCATTATCTGTAGTGCAGCAACACACTGCGTATTTAGAGTGACAGAATTTCTTACACGAAGCCCATAATCTTCTTCATCAAACTCTGGGCTGCCTTTTGGTCATTACAAGTTGCTGCATTTTTCGAAAGATGGATACTGATGTACAATTGTTGATCTGGCATGAATGTAACTGCAAAAGTCTGCAATAACTTACAGTCACTGGAAAGTATAGCAAACTCTTGATGAGCAGTACTTGCACTATTTAATAAACAATGAAGTTTAAATGTCTTGTTCTAGGAGGAATTGCTTTAATAATTCAAACAGAAATGAGCATAAAATATCAATATCTGCTTAAGAGTTGGATCTTCTGCCTAAGGGTATAGAATAGATTCATATTAGTTTTTACTCTCATATCTTATATAGCTACTTATATAGTAGCAGATAACAGACAAGTGGTCTTTCCTGGATACTAAGTGAAAACTTATTGAAGCTAGGGTGGAAGTAGAGTATTGCTGCTGCTCTTTATTTCTGCTGTTGTTTCATTACCTACTTAGATCTCCTTTTTGTGTTGTTTCTTCTTTCCACAATTGTATTTCACTTTTTCTTTTGCATTACACTTTTTATAAAAACTCACAGTAGAATCATAGAATCATTAAGGTTGGAAAAGACCCTTAAGATCATTGAGTCCAACCGTTAACCTAGCACTACCAAGTCCACCACTAAACCATGTCCTCAAGCACCACGTCTACCCTTCTTTTAAATACCTCCAGGGATGGAAGCTCAACCACTTCCTTGGGCAGCCTGTTCCAGTGCCTGACTACCCTTTCGGTGAAGATTTTCCTAATATCCAACCTAAACTTGCCCTGGTGCAACTTGAGGCCGTTTCCTCTCATCCTATCGCTTGTTACTAGGGAGAAGAGACCGACCCCCACCTTGCTACAACCTCCTTTCAGGTAGTTGTAGAGGGAGATAAGGTCTCCCCTCAGCCTCCTCTTCTCCAGACTAAACAATCCCAGCTCCTTCGGCTGCTCCTCATAAGACCTGTTCTCTAGACCCTTCACTGACTTTGTTGCCCTTCTTTGGACACACTCCAGCACCTCGATGTCCTTCTTGTCGTGAGGGGCCCAAAACTGAACACAGGACTCGAGGTGCGGCCTCACCAGTACTGAGTACAGGGGCACTATCACCTCCCTGGTCCTGCTGGCCACACTATTCCTGATACAAGCCAGGATGCCATTGGCCTTCTTGACCACCTGGGCACACTGCTGGCTCATATTCAGCCAGCTGTCAACCAACA